AGCGGGTGAAGCGATATGCAATCCAGCCAGTGGTTTTACACTATTAATATGTGTTGGTGCCGCACCAACAAACGCAGCAATGCACCAACCAAGGCAGGGAAGAAGACCGATAGCATGCAAACATGGATGCAAACAATGTGGGTTTCTAACTTTTACAAAAACAAAACTGCTTTAAAATGTTTTGAAGAAGGATAATTTGACATGTTTGATAGATCTAAAGGACATACAAAATGGATTTTGGTGAGGAACACTGAATGTAAACAGAAACATTCTTTACTAAACCCCACAGGCAACCTTTAAACCAACGAAATGTGATGGCAGTAACACTATCAGTTTAATTTTACAACGCAACTGGTCATATTTATGTGTCAGTGGAAATAACTCACTTAAAATCAAAATTTATTAATTCTGGAATATGTGCTCATAAATATGATGAACACTCAAATGAAGCCATTTGTGTCCATAATGTACAGAAACACAGTGGGGGAAAAACATGTGCAGGGTGTGTGCAGTGCCTTCACTGAAATGATACTCACTGTATCTTCTTTGTGAAATTCTTTGTCACTATGCCTCCTTCTTCTTGCTTCTCTTCATGCTTTCCTGTTTAAAAAACCCAGCAGCAAACAAGTCAGTCAGTCGAGTAGCCTAAAATAACTTTTTACATATGATTTTAAATTCAACATTTTTAGTGAGGTCATGGATCATGTGTCCCCGTTTCAACAGAACATTGGTCTTATACACATATCATGACTCTTAACCTTTAAATGTGTCCATGAGCTTCAGTATGGATGTAAATCACAATGCTGTTGATGACACTGAGATCAAAATGTGTTTCATTTGGCACACACAGTTTTCCATTGCTTAATGCCAACAGTGTTTTTGCTGTGGGACGTCTGGGTGGGTTGAAATGATGAAACACCCTTTTCATTCTCTTTACTTTCTTCCAAGAATTATTCTGCTGGTGAAAGAGATTCAGACATGTTGAAGTTGAGGAGAACTGCCTGGAAAGCCCTCCACTTTCTCCTGTGTTTATGGTCGTTTCAACTCTCTGGCTTGCTAGCAGCTGCTCTGCCCCACCCTTCAACCCCCGTCTGCACTCCAGGCTCAACTATGCGCTACCTTATACCCCCAAAGTGACGTCTCTGCCTGCCAAAAGTGCTGGACTCCATCAGAGATTGACGTTGGAATAAAACTCCAGAGAGAACTGTGCGAAGATCACCGGTGAAGTCAGGAGATTGTTATTTAAACCTCGTCATGACTTAAGACTTAAAAGCGGTCCCCTGATCATCTCCCTGAGATATTTCATGAATAATGGAGGTTTGGTCCGAGAGCAGTCCAACAAGGCGCTGGCTCTCCTGGTTTTCAAGTCTCTTACGACAGAGATGCCAAATTCCAGATGCTGTGTGTAACACTGTCTGTTGTTTGGATACTGATCTTTTTGTAATGGATAACGCACTAAAAGGTTTTTCTGCCTGTACTAGTATCAAGTGTTTCCTTCTTTCTATACAGCGAGTCATGACAAGAGGTGGAAATTACAAATCAATTTGCTGTTCAGTTCAGTCAACTACGCAGTTTGTTTAAAGCTGCACTGATCAATATTTTTACATAAACAAAAAGGATCAAATGTTAAAAGTTGTTCTTTGTGACGAACCCACAGATTATTATCTCCAAGATCCCCTCAGCTCCACAGAGCATTTTAACATCTTTGAGGTCAATTGTTTTTTGTTTGACACCCCCTAAATGTTTTGATTCACTCCCATCAACCTTTTTTTCAGTGGTACCAGGCACGTCTTTTAGGCAAAAAGGAAGCTCTGATAAACCCACTGTTTGCTATCTGCCTCGCATTAAAATGGCAGACAACGCTTGTGACTAGCTGGTCTACATAGTGAAGCATTTAGCAGCTAAAGAGACATCTATTTCCTTCAGAGGTTGGTGGAGACCAAAAACAGATCTGGGCGAATATTAGACTTCAATTTGTGGGGTGGGCAGAAACACGTCATGCTAATGTTGCTCTGTGTCTGGTTATTATAGGTCAGTGTTGCCTTGACAGGATGGAGGCTGGCAAATTAACTGCAGCTAGATGCCCTGTAAACGCCGTATCTGTTCATTACTTTGTATGTAACAGTTTCTATCTGTGCTATACGTGTTTCAGCTAAGTGCTGTATAGTACAGCAGTGACTTCATTTCAGTCACTGATCCTACGTGAGTTTAGTCAGTTCCTGTTGTTTAGCTCAGTCCAGTACAAATCTAGGCTTATAAAAGTGCACTGAGAGTGCAGCAACCACACAAGGCCTTCAGTGAGACTTGAATAAATTTTTTTTCCTACAAACTTTCAGTAACATTTTAAATGTACTTTAAGTGAATTTTACCAGGAGGAAACATGCTCATGGTTGCACTCAGGTGAACTCAAAGTGACTGATTTGGATGATGAGCACACTCTGTTCATGTAGTGTTAAAGATTTGTTCGTTCATGTACTGAACACCCCAGACATTCTTGTATCACACTCCCTGTCACACTTTTAGAACGGGGTCGAGTCACTGTGGCAGGCAGGCCCAAAATGGCGCTGAGTGAACGACCCAACTGGCATACCAACAATGTGTTTATAAAAAACTCAGAGTTGGGGGGCCTGCTGTCCTCTGTGGCTTATTCAGTCCTGGGTATCCCTGGAATTTATCTATCTTTTGTTGTACTGACATGAGGAAGCAATTTATACAACTTACTCCCATGATCAGTGACTGAGCTAAAATGTGACACCAGCAGACACAAAACCAGCATGAGGACTGCTGGAGAAAAGTGTGACACCTGTTTCCAGAACATTCTGTCTTGCGTTAAATGGCAGCGAGTGGCTTGTCTTATTGTAAACAGAGACTGTTGTCACGGGCCTTGCTTTAAATCTAAATCAAGCTCATGGGTGTCAGAGGGAGTGATTCTCCAAGAATCTGAAACAGGTGTCTAAGCTTGAGGATCTGCCTGCCAACATGGAAGTCCCAGTCCCACAAACTCTGTCCCATTCTTCCATATCAAGACTCACAAATGCTGAAACCCCGTTTCACCGCAGAGGCTTTTATTGCACCACTTCCAATCGGCTGCCAAAGTGAAAGAGCTGATATGTCTTGGCCAGGTTAGAGTGAGGATCCCGAGAGATGCTCAGCAAGGTGTTGTTTATACTTTGTTGTTTCATTAAGATCATGGCAATTCTGGCTTTTCAAATGGCTGGACTGCTGCTTTTTGATCACAACTTTTATGTCTCACATGATTATTGTCTCAGCTGTTTAAGATATTTTGTCTAAATGCGACTACCTGGTGAAATAAAAGATCTATTGGAAGGTCTAAAAAGGCCTATTTATAGGTATTAAGTTACATCACAGAAGGTAAACCTTCAAATTCCCATAAACAGTACTGAGGGCATACCCTCCATGGCTGTTACAGCCCTGCAAATTAGTGTTTTCCATGAACAGATGATATTTTTCATCCCATTTTCTTTTATTTAAATGTTTTTTGTGCAATATACCTTAAATTCAATGTATTATTTCCATTCTAATTATTTTTTTGGCCTATTAAATCCCCATTTTAAAAGGCACTTTGGATATCATTAGTTGTGTCTATAAATAAAACTGACTGTTTCTCATATTAATCTGAACTGATGGTTGTCACGGGTAGGTTCACTTAACCTCCAGTCACTGATCATGAGCCATCACAGCTTTAAAATTGCCCAAAGCTCCTTCCTTTAAAGGCCCTTATCTCCAATAAAATTAATGAAAAGGTTTGGCATCGTCCTAAAAAGTGATTTATTTAGTTCAGATCTCTGCAACAGCATCCCAACTCACCTGACACTTCTACAAATCCGTCTCTCGTTTTGACGTTTAATTCCTCTGGTTTGAAGCTGTGGACGTTCACGCAAACCTTCCAGGGCTCCCCCCCGGTGGTGATGGGTGAGCTCCGGGAGGAGGGCTCGCCGTACCTGCTGGTGTACAGCGTGGGGCCTCCCGTGGACTGACGCGGGGGGAAACCTGTGCGTAAAGTGCTGCTGAAGGGCGAGGAACTGAGGCGTGTGCTAAGCCGGCCCGGCCGAGCCCAGCCCGGCCAGTCCATTGCCAGATCATCGGGGAAAGGTGGCATCCCAAAGTCATCCTCCATAAACCGCGATGCGAGCTGGTCCCTGAACGGAGACTGCTCTCTGAACGGTGATTCTCCAAACGGATCCCTGGGAAACCTCTGCCGGTTCCCCATAGTGTAGAAGTCTCCCTCTGCCATGTCCAACTCAGTTCAAAACCAGTTAAAGTTCTGCTATATGCACCAAACAACTTTCAGCCAAAACTTTTTCCTTTGAATACAAAAAGAAGAACTGGACTACTTCTGTCTGTACCGGTGGTGAAACTTTTATCTATTTTGGATTATGCGCATCACCCTTACGCATCAGTCACCCGTTGGCCCAACAACAACCTCTTAAGTGTACACTGACTTTCTTAAAACCTTCAAATGAATTCCTCCTGGCTGGGAGTTTTATACTGGAAACGATTTCGCAGACGATGAGTCGGCATAGAGCAAGTGTCAGGAAAGTGCTGGGAGGATCTGGAGAGCCCCCGCACTGCAAAAAACATCCAACTCAGAAGTCATGCAGAATCTTCAAATCTTTAAAGTAAAGACAATTGGCTAAAACAATGACTTGCTCTGTGCTAAATTAACCGTTGCGAATGTCTGTTAGGGTTAAAAAACAGGTTAAGACTTAAATTAAGGTTAAATTACTTACTGATGTGGATATTTTTTGCAGTGCAGGCGCAACAGCTGACCAAAGTCCAGCCTCCTTTTTTTTTTCCAAATTAAGTTCTTGTCCACATGTCACTCAGACAGAGTTGGTGCTCCCTCCTCTTGGTGACTCACTGGCTTTTTAATAGAAAATAACGCAGAGCCTCAGGTGATGTCACAGTACCGATAAAACAAGAAGTCAACTTTGTGAATGTAGCTTGCATTTGCTGTGGTGTCAGAACGTAAAACAAGATTGGTGTGGTGTTTTTATTCAGAACATGATTTCATACATCTTATTTTAAATACGCAGTGAAAGGAAAAGTTGATTTCATGGGGTTATGTGCGGGGACAATTCAATTTCCAGGTGACACATTAGTACAATGTGGAGTTCACACTGACACAAGATAAAATGTGACAGTATGAAAAACATATGTTTCTGCAATATGCTTGTTCATAAGGAAAACAGGGAGCGTATGCGTAATTTAACATTGAAACACTGGATCACTATTGCTATATGACCTTGTTATTGGGATTTTTAAAATAACAAAAGACATGATCAGATCTTTAGCATAAATATATCTAAGTCCATTAATTGATGGCATATAGTCTTCTTTTCCTTTTCCACTGGTCAATGCATATTATCCACATCAACATTTTAACATCCAACAAGGCCCAAATCACATTCTGAACATCAAATAAGGACAGCTTTTATATAATCTATACAATGCAGATGCATATTTACACCACAGTAATTACATATTGAAAATTATTTTGCACAAGAACTGATGCAAACTTTACATTGTGAGACAGGGAGAGGGCCGTTGGCCATGACTGCACAAATCTTCCACTGGCACCTAGTCAGCACTGGTTGACACAAGTCATCATCAGTCCATAGTTTATGAATGGCTTTTTTGCCAAGTTCCTTCCTCTTCCAGTGTCATATTTCCCTCTTTTGTCCAATTTAGTTGACATTCAGGGAAATAAGCAGAGAGTATTGAGTGCATAGAGAGAAGTCTGTCAGGCATGGAGCAGTTACACAGAGAGGATGGTGGATTTGAAATGATAGAGAAATATCTCTCTCTTAATAATATGGAAAGGCAGTTTTAAACTTTTTTGCAGATTCAAGCTCTGGAGTCAAAGTGGCCTTGAAATGAACTTTAGTGGAATAGTTTGACATTTTGGAAAATATGCTTATTTGCTTTCTTGCCGAGAGTTAGATGAGAAGATCGATACCACCCTCATGTCTGTACGATGCATATGAAGGACCAGCAGCCGGTTAGCATAATGACCTGAGACAGGGGGACGCAGCTAGCCTGGTTACATCCAAATGTACCATCAGTTCCAAAGCTCACTATTTAACATGATTTATCATGTTTTTTTTGTTTTTTTTACCAAAGTGTAAATGGTTTTATGAGGGGTGACTGCGAGGTTTCCAGGCAAAGAGTGGAGATTTCAGGATTTTATTGCACCTGGCCAAGAAATAGTCCAGCACATAACCTCTCGTATAAACACAACTTGTTTCTGTATGGATTAAACACAAGATGCATTTTAATTAGTGAGTTTAAGAGGTGATAGACAGATTTTGTTAACCATTTGACAGAGCCAAGTCAGCTGTTCCCCCATTATCAGTCTTTATGCTAAGCTAAGTTAGCCAGGTGCTGGCTGTAGCTTCCATAGACTCTATAAAAGAAGTAGACAAAGCCACCGTAAAGTCACCGATTAGTTTGTGCACTACTGTTCTTTTGGGATTTTGGCCATCGCCGCCTTTGTTTTTTGGAACAATAAGTGACCATATTTGGATAAAAGGGTGGAGCTGTGGAGGGTTTCTGCCTAATGGTGTTTTCAGAGTACTGGCCACAAAGCAACAGGCTAGGACGGCACCCACCTGTCACTCAAAGCCCCTGTACAGTTGTCACGGGAAGTTAGCTATAGAGACCAAAAGTGCTTTTTGTACCAGGCTGTAAACATGTTTATTTCTGCTGTAATAATGGGGGTCTGTGGTGAGCCAGCCTAAAGTGGCCATTGGAGGAAGTGCAGTTTTTGGCATTTCCACATTGGCTTCATTTGAGACACATATGAGAGTGGTATCAATCTTCTCTACATCTACATCTACATCTTGAAGTAAGCAAATATGCATATTTCCTAAAATGTCACACTCACTCACAAAAAGGTCAGACAGGAAGGATCTTTTCTGTCATTCCAGTTTATGCTTATCTGTCTTTTGAACATCTGCTACTACTGTGAAGTTTATGTGTGAGTAAGGAGCAAAACCCAAGACTAATTTACAACAAACCAAAACTAAATTACAGCAGTATCATAATTACTATAAATTGACAGTGTTGCATAGAAGGATTGACCACTACTGAGAGGGACAACAAACTAATAAATATTAAATAAGTAATAAATATGTATGTGCTGCACAATAAAAAACTTGACCCTCTGTGATATAACTCCAGAAAAACATTTGACACATTTGATATATGTGTTGTAGCAAGAAAACATCATTCAAGTAAATTGAGAATCAAGGCTATTCATAAGTTCAGACTTCTTGTGTTGCAACCAATCTTTCTGTGTCCTCATTTAAAATCAAAATATCAAATAAAAAGAGACTGATATAAGTACAGAAGCCCCGGATTGACAATTTAAAGTATCCTTTTCCCAAAACAAATTAATTACATGTTTTATTTGCCTTATGCTGTCAAGAAAAATACCTCCACTGAAGATTTTGTCAAAAGAAATCCCCCTCCCTGTCCCTGCGCAATATTTCCATCGCTCTTTGTTGTATTACATGGACTGACATTTCAATTGTTTTCCACTTGATCAGAGGATAAATTAATTTGACATTTGAGCTGACAGGCAGTTTGCTCGCCGCCAGGCCACCCTTGCCATTTAATTTTTCAGAGGAAACATGTCTGTTCTCTACCTTGTGAAGTGCCAAGATCAGAGCCATAAACTTTTGCCTTATTCCTGATAACGATCCCTCGGAAACCGTTTGTAACTTTGTACCCTCGGATCAACCGGCTCAAATGTTACATCAATACTTCACTTCTCGGCACAAAATCTGAAACATACAGACCTGACATGGCACAGTAAATGACCAGTGTCTTATGAAACTTTAAAATTGTTTACCTGGTTCGTCTGCACTTGTATTAGCCAACACATTCTGTATGTTGCCCCCCCAAAAAACTCAGGCCATATTATGCATTTTAGAACTATCAATTTTAAGAAAAATCATATATAACAAAAATGTAATGTGAAGTGGACAACAGCGATGTTAATAGACCAAATACAGGAAGACTGTTTCTGTCTTATGTGCAGTTATAAATATCTAAGAGATGAACAGTCGCAGGCCACTGTGAGTGCTGATGCAAGAGGATGCAGTACAAGAACAAAACAAACAAACAAACAAACAAAAAGACATTCTGTCTCTAGTGGTCTCTGCGGGCAGAGTGAACAAGACAGCATCAATGAAAGACGTGGTCGGACCCCTGCGGGGACACTTCCACTCAAGCGTCAAGGCAGAGCACAGAGACGCACACAGTTGATTGCTCCAACATCCACTGTCCCCGCTCTCAGCTGGTCTCTGAGAAACCTAACGCCTGTTTTTTTTGCGTTTCTTCAATGAACCGTGGCTCCGGCTGCGACTACGGGTCCCAAAGATTGAGTTCCAGGATGAACTGCGGCTGTAGCTCCTGTAGGAGGAGTAACTGTGGCTGCGGCTCCTGCTCCTGCTGATGCTGTGCATGGGGCTGCGGCTGCGGCTGCGGGTGAAAAGGCTGCTCCAGGATGACACGCTGGTTGACCGACTGGTGGAGGAAGGACTGGGTCGGAAGTAAGGGATGGGTCGCTTCCTGGCACTGTGGAGGGCCAAAAAACGGTAAGTGGTGTGAAGCTGACAAACAGTAAAAGAATTAACGCTGCTTATGTGTAGCCTAGAGGTGAGAAAGACGACTCCTAATGAATGCTAATGCAACCAATTAATGCAGGTTTAAAGCCAATAGATTTTATTATTGACCAACTGGGGGGCAAAATCTGTGAAAAAAATACTGGCATTACAAAGATGTTACAGCTAACATGTTACCAAACAAGTGTGTTTAAAAACATCCAGTCAACACAGAGCAACATTTGAAATCATGTTTCTGGACACCTGGTGAATGTGAGTGTAATATTCACTCTCCTTTTAGCTTAATTTGGTCTCCACCAACTCCTAAGACAAATATCTGGCTCTTTACCAGCTAAATGTTTCACTATGTTCACAAGCTAGTTGCTAACTTTGTCTGTCTGCTGTATAACTTTATTTAGCCAGAAAAAGGCTTCACTGAACTAAAAAAAAGTCTCTTTTACTGGGATGTCCTGAGCAAAAGTTGATGGCAGTAAAACCAAAACAATGAGCTGACTGTGTGGCAGACAAGATCTGTTAAAAGTGAAGCATTTGTGCTTGTTCTTTTTTTTTTTTACATTTCAGATTGCCTGTGTTCACCATCTGCTTCTTTAGCACCTGAGGTGACTTTAGAGCTGACGGTTATCTCATCCTTTGGCTAAATGCCATACATCGCTCAGCAACTCAAGGGAGACTTCAGGTTGGGTACTTGTCCAACTGAGGGGGGAGGGACCAGCAGTACATTTTTTGCTGCCTTTAGGCATAAAATGTATATTGTAGCTATAAATAACCAGGGTGGGAAAGCTGTACCTTGTGATTCGGCGTGCTTCCAGATGGCTGGGTGAGTCTCTCCTCCTTTTCTTCATAGGAGAGTAGGATTTGCGTCTTCGTTTCTTCCCACTAACCTTATGTGCATGCTTCTCATCTGTCTCTCGGGAGCTAGGTGTTCTCTTTCTGTCTCGCAGTCTGGGAAGCAGACATAACAACGTGGAAATGTAATCACCAACAATGAAAATATAAATTTGTCCTTGTGCGCCACTAATGAGGAGTCATTAAGAGTTGAAACACTTCATAAAGTTCACCTATCAGCACTGTATCTGGAGTAGCTTCCTTTGGAGCTCAGGCTGGCCACGCTGCCACGCCGCCTCAGATCAGCTGAATAACTCGGTGAGCGCGAGTATGAGCTGGCAAAGAGAGAAATTACAGTTATCCCCAGGGAAGCAGTAGTAGTTTAGCAAATTCTTGAAATTTCTGCAAAATAAAATATGAATCAGTGCTCAGTCATTTTGAGCAGTGTACATACATGACAACATCATGTAATTGAGCACCACTAATTAAGATTTATTTTATGTGACATTTTGTTGCTTTTTCTGACATCATTTGTGTTTTTGTTAATGAATGATTTTCATTCTTCGGATCCACATGTCCCATGTGGTGTTTTTCTATAGTGGTAGAGAGGTGGGGACATAACAAGGGACACCATCTAGACTGGAAATGGGTTGTTACAATTACTTACACCCTAGCACGCCTGCTCTTTTTATTCTTTACTTTTACAGACTTTCTAGTGCAGTGCAGGCATGTAATGATGAGTGGCAGCACATGAATGTTTTGTCTGCCACACAACAGGGGACTTTAGGATACATTATTAAACATGAATGTCTGTATTACATTTTGTTCCAGTTCATCTAGTAGATATGAAAACTTGCTAGTGGTGCTAGGAAAAGTCAGTAGGATTCATCCTCTGGGCACCATGAATGTCTGTACAATAGAGTCCTGGCAATCCTTTTAATATTTTAGTGTTTTGACCAAATGACATAGCTAATGCTAGAACCACACCGCTAACATGACTAAAAATTTGTTTCTGTCAGCCTCTATCATATCGTCTCTTTTCCACCTGAAGGGGATGGGAGATGGGGAAAGAGATGCAGCAAAGACCCCTGACCAAACATGAACAGGGTGCATGTGGTGTAAGGTCAAATTGTGGTGACATTCATGCGAGAATGTGGAAATGCACAACATAAAAGTAGTTAACCCACCTGCAAGACGACAGTGACAGGCTTCGAGAGTAGCGTCCAGAGTATCTGGAACTCCCCGAGGATCTGCTCCTGCTGCTGGATGACCGGGTTTTCAGTCGCCTTCGAGATGACTTGCTCATCCTTTGTGAACAGCTTGAAGTCTTTGGAGATCTCATAACCTCCACCCGACACCCCAGGGTTATCTGTTCTCTGCAAAGGAAACACATTAAGCCGTTTTACTGCTTTGACTGATAAAGCTAAAACTGTATCTTGGCTTGTTTTTAAGAAATGCTCTCCTTTATTCATAAGATGAGAATTTCAAAACAGGAAATAGAGCATGGAAACCGAAGATAAACAGCTTGCAATTTTCCTGGGAATCATTCATTTGGATGGATTGTTTATTATACACAACATTACCTCTTGCCGTTTCCACTGAAAAGGGTTGCAGACAAGCCGTCCTCCCCAAAAGGCTTGCAAAAGGAAGCGTAGCTGGTCACAGAGTTTCCTGAATCAGAGACATTGTCTCTCTCAGTGAACTTCACCTTCTCTGGCGAGGCCAGACGTTTACAGTGGTTCCTCTTGTTGGCAGTGACACTCGCCTGAGAAACACCAGTTTTGCTGGATGGCGGTGAAGATGTGTCATTCCCAGAATCGTAATCGTGCGGACCTTCGGTCTGGCTCGATAAATGCTGAGACCCTTTTCTGTGTAAAAGCTCGCTTCCAGGTTTTGACGACAAAATCTGCAAACAGACAAACAGGCTGCAGCTTAAAACCAAGTGTGTGTAGATAAATGGAACCTGCTATCTGCTTTGATGCACTGTGAATACTCTAGTACAAAGGCACATATTCCCTTGAAAACACAGAGAAGAGATTTCTTTTTTTCTCAGGACAGAAAACTTTGAAAGATAAAGACATCATGCAAATTTGAAGCATGCGATTAACCTCAAAAGAAAGTCTGAACTCAACTAAAGTCAAAGAAATCAACAAGAAAATTTTTTAGATAAAGTAAGTCTAAACTAAAATTATATGAAAGGAACAACAGAAGAGCAGAGAAGAAAAGAAAAACTATGCGTGGAAAAATCTACTGGCTCTAACTCGAGTGAAGAGAAAAAGAGTAAACAATAGCCCCATTGAAAAGCCTCATTTAAAGAACAGTGAACAAACATCACAAAATGGGTATTATGTATAAATGAAAAGGATTGCAGACAAAGAGAGATCCCATCAGTCTAACTAAGAAAGCCCTCAGAATGGGACAGATGACTGAGTTCTTTCTCCTGTAAGAAGTAAATAATTAGCCTGCACCGACCTACAAGTAAATCCCTAAATCTGCGGATAGCATCGACTTACCAATCAAGATTTCCTCCTTAAGTAGGTAAGGTGTAAGAAAAAGGGAAGAGCGGGCAACATAAGTGCATCATTAGAGTCGTAAATTACAAGAAAAAGACAATAACCCTCTCTTCAAACCCAGAGCCAGTTAGACTTATATTGGCATGTTCCTTTTTCTTTCCTTAATGGTGCATTGTTTTTAGGGAAAGAAGTGTGCTTGTATGAGTACCACTACAGCACACAAAAGGTTTGCTTTTACTGCAGACGTCCACAGATGGAAAATGATACTCACTCTCCAAGGATCATAGTTGACTGATCTCATAAAACTATGATCTCTCTTTACTTACTGATTACGAAACTCTCAGGTTTATCCAGTCTGTCCTCCCGAAGGTTTCCTATTATCTAGTCTAAAGTCGACACAACAGACCAACCCTGAGGGGAATTTACCACTTGCATCTATGCACACAATCTGTACGTACTCAAGAGTAAAAGATTTCCTTTACAGAAAGACACGTTTTAAACAGACGCATTCTTCAATGTCACCTCGAGATATTTTGACAAGGCTGTCTTAAAATAAACATGTCATATCTGCCTTGGTGTTTTTGCAAATGGTTCTCGTGTGCTTTCTTTTCCTTTTGTTGCCACAACTTTTTATTTGCGTTCAACACAAAGGAAATTCACCAATTACATTTATAGATTGGGTTGACATATTTTATAATCAACCACATTCGTGTCGATTATTAATATTTTTGAGTTTTTCATTATCCAGTCATACCTACCTTTCCTTTTATGGATTGCTTTTTTTGGGAAAGAAATGTTAAGCATTAAGATCATCCTGCATTTCATTCGCATTTATTTATGGGCTTTGATTGGGGAGAATAAAAAGCAAGAATTTGAAATAATTTGAATAATTCTGATACAGTAGGGCTACCCCTCAGTAACCAACTGTGAAGTCCTGCTGAAAGACTTTGGGATTGAATGCCTGGTGTGATTCAATATATGGATTCATTTATTGGATTTCAATTAAAACCCTGTGGTGTGTAATTAAAAACATTCGTCTGTGCAATTAGCATACTTTAATGATTGCTGGAGAGAAATTAAATATATTTCATGCTCCAATAAGCATGAGACAATAAGTTTAAGGACATACCATAGCTGTATTTATGAGGCTCTTTGGAAAACATCACTTTTAAATAATGAAAAAAAAAAATCAACCTTTTAAAATTCAAAGTCTGCCGTCAAGAAGTTGTCAATCACAGTTTCATTTCAACTTAAAGTCTGGTCTGCAAACAGAAATAGGGAAACTGTATGCTGGAAGTATTACATGAAACAGAGTGGCAAGAAATCGCTAATAATTCCCAAGTCCACAATCATTATAAGTGATCATTCATTATGTTAGTCTCCTGCTTCAGCTCTAATGATCATGATTGGGTGCCAGTACAGGAAGCAGTGTGACATTTATATAGCAGACACTAGCGGTTTATATCCAGTCTCAAACCATCCCTAACCATAAAGCAATGTGTACTAACTCAGCACAGTCTGACACACTTTGATGACCTTAAGCAATAACAAGTAGTTTCTGCCTGCTGCTTGCAGATCATTGTTTAACAAAATAAAAGCAGAGTGGTAACAACACTGTCACTACTGTTCATTCTAAACAAAAAAATGCTTCACTTCCGGTCAAAAGTTTCACACCAGTGTACTATGAGTACACTAAAGATAAAAATAGGAAACTCTGGAGATATAGGCTTTTTAACATCCTGTAGGAGTCAGCTGCATATATAGTAAACTTTAAAAATATTTTTAAGGTGAGCACATAAAGTTGTAACCAAGTGTTTTTCCTTGAGATGTACAGAGTTTGTTGAAATAATTAATTCAAAACATTGACACTGAATATTCATTAACATCCTCTCGGAACAAAATGTTTTGAGTGATACCTTCAATAAAGGAATACAAACGTGTTGTGAGAAATAGCTCTTGAAAATTAAATGGTTGTTGTTGGTGTTGAATTTGACACTACACTTTGGAGAACGTGTCATTTTTCCAGTGGCATCATTATTATTATGGGGAGTACAAAGTTCTTGATAGCGTTAGTTTTAAAAACAGAAAAACAGGAACTGACAGAATTACTCCAAAATAAAGAATTTGTAAAAAAAGCTCAGAGTAAGGCCATGTACAGTTTTTAATTTCATAAAATTCAGTACTTACAGGATGGCTCAATTGTCAGAAAAATATTGTATTTTGGTTAAATATAAAAGGCAAGAAACATCTGGGTGTGGAATTCAAATCTTAATAGTGAGCTGCTTTACATGGCCATAACTGAGAAATCAGACTGAACCAGTGGCACCACCGTCAAAGTCCTAAATTGTACTTACGGTGGTGGTTGAGAGGATGGAGCGATATTTTGGAGCCGTTTTACACACTGATTTGGTTGCAGGTCTCCACTTCATGTCCGTGTGGTCAAGCACTCCATTGGTTTCCTCTACCACAGCTGCCAAGTCTCCTAATGCCTGATGCACCACAGATTTCTGCAGATGGTGTCTGTGGGAAAATGCTGGATTTAGTTTTCATGACACAAATGCATCTTCTCAGTTACAGAAAATTCTAAACTATGGAGAATGGGACAGCACCTTTTTTTGTTTTTTTTTACACCTTCCGTTGTTTTGGCCATCTTGAAAAATAAAGTGTAATCTGTTGTGTAATCATAGAAAAACTGTAAAGAAATTTCTTGGTCATAATTCCACCTGGGAAGATTAGTTGATGAGAGACTAAGGTTCAGCTGTATAAAAACGTTGGGAAAATGTAGCTTAAAGCTCCATATTTCTTGATTTTTATTGTGATTTCCTCTTCTTAATATCATCAAAAAAACTCATAGAAATTAGTTAGTAATAAAGAGCTCCAGACAGATTTAAAAATAGTATGTCTAATTATTTTAGTTTAACCTCAATTTGAGTTCAAACTCAATTGAATTTTACTTATTCACATGTGTCAAAGTTCCCTAATTAAGTTGTTCTTTAGGATGCCATTTTGACTCTGAATGCAATATTTCGCATTCGCTGGCGATAAATGACTATTCAAGGATTAATTATCACCAGTGGAAGCATCCACTTATTCCTCTAGCTGTTAGAGATCATCATGCTACCAACCCTGTTCCATAAAACCTGTAAAAGACAACCTTCATATTATCAGATATCCAAGATTTTGCAATATGTCATTATAACTGAGTGCATCTATCTGTTGAGTGAATATGGGACCATTTCCTGTGAAGTTGTGATAAGGGCTGGTTGTGCCTGAGATCAGGAAGTCACCTCTGCCTTATCAGTCATCGCTGTTGTGTGACCAGGAACTCAGCAGACACCTCAGGCTGATAAGATAAACTGGGGGAGTAGTGGGGTCGAGGAGGGTGAAGGATGAGTTCCTACCTGTCCTCTGTGGAAGCCTGGCAGGAAGAACTGTGCGACTCTGACCTCCGATAGCGTCGTCTCCGCCTTGAGTGAGTCCGGGAACTGAAAGAGGTGATGAGGAGAGCAGAGAAGAGAAGACCCAAGTGGATAAGGAGCTAAGAGTACTGTGATTAATCAACAGAATAAAATTACGTGACGACCATTTTTATAATCACTTAATCATTTGTCATTTACCGAGCACAAATTCCAGCTTTTCAAATGTGACGATTTGCTGCTTATATCGGTTCTGTAACATCACATCTGTAGATAATGGTCTGTGACTGTGTAGATTTTACCCTTTCTGTTTAGTGATAAAGGAGGATCTGGCTTCATCTTTTTGGTCATTGCTATAAATTTTTTTTGACATTTTTTTACTATCCTATATTCACCAAATGATATTCTGAAATTAGGAAAAATAACGTCATCACTACTACAAAGTTCAACAGTGATCAGACGGGTTGTAAACAAGCCACCAGTTTAGCCAGATTATCTAAACCACTTTATCTGTGAAGGGAGTGTACCCAAAATGTCTGTAATAAAACCTCAGTTGTACGGTGAGCCAAAGCTGAACTGCTGTTTACACTGGAGAGCTTGGCTAATAATTATAATAATCTCCGTTGTTTTTCTCTGAACTGAACATTATGTGGTGGGATGGAAATGTCAGTTGCTACTTGCTGGTTAAGGCAAAACAAAACAGAAGAACCCCCCCCTCAACAAGAAATCCTGACAGTGGATCTATTGCTTCAGAAACTATGGCTAGATTGAAGGGGACCTATTATGCTTTTCCGTATTATCTGTTTTATCTATAGTGTTACAATGTTGGAGGCCAAAGCTTCAAATAAATAGTTTAACATATTTTTAAGAAATCCTTGTTAGCCATAACCTCAGATGTCCCCCTGTTTTGAACACTCCCCTTTCAACAGTTTTTTCTACTCCCTGCTCTGCATGATGTCATACTGAGCCGGCTTTCCATATATGGTCATTTGCCTGCAGCCTGTTAACCGCTTCTCAGTCTGTCTGTAGTGCTCAGTGGCAACAAAATCCTGGTAAACGTGCTTTACGGTCTTGGCCCATCAGAAGATAAGAAGCCAGCATCGTAGTTACATCCCTGGCCGTATACTAAAAACCTGTGCCAATCAGCTAGTTAATGCTATTACTGACATTTTCAACAAATCACTGTCTCAGGAGAGGGTTCCAACCTGCTTTAAGACAGCCACCATCGTTTCTGTGTCTAGTCTGAACGACTACCGCCCTGTGTCTCCAACCCCCATTCTGATGAAGTGCTTTGAGAAACAGGTTCTTCATACATACTGTACATAAAGAACAGCCAGCCTGGACCCTCACCAGTTTGCTTTCAGAACCAACGGATCCACAGAGGATGAGAAAAAAAAGAGGACCTTGATAAAAACGACACCTACAATAGAATGCTGTTTGTGGATTTCAGCTCAGCATTCAACACAATCTCCACCATGAAACTGATCAGCAAACTCAGCACTCTGGGTTTAAATAAAACACTTGGCAACTGGATATTGGAATTCCTCAGAAACAGACCCCAGTCAGTTCGGATTGGCGGACTCACCTCCTGCACTCTAGTGCTCAACACCGGAGCCCCCCAGGGCTGTGTGCTCAACCCCCTCCTGTTCACGCTTTACACCCACGACTGTATCCCCGAACTATGCTGTGAAGTTTGCGGACGACACCACCATCAACAGTCGGATTTCAAACAACAATGAGACTTTATATCGGGAGGAAATTGCTAATCTTGCAGAGTGGTACTCAGAGAACAACCTACTGCTCAACGTCAGCAAAACTAAGGAGCTGATTGTTGATTTCCGGAAGAAGGAGATTAAGACACACTCTCCTGTCAACCGCAGTGGTGCTGAGGTGGAGCAGGTGAACAGTTTCAGGTTCCTGGGAATCAGCATCACAGAGAACCTGACATGGTCGTCTCACATCTCCACGCTGAGGAAGAAAGCTCAGATACAATATTTCTTGAGGAAGCTTAAGAAGGCCAAATTCCTGTGCCAAGTTCTTGTCAGTTTTTACAGAGGTGCAATAGAAAGCATCCTGAAACATCACAAACTGGCATGGGATGTGCACAGCCCAGGACCAGAGGGCTCTGCAGCGGGTGATTAAAACTGCTCAGAAGATCACTGGTACCTCCCGAGCCTCAGTGATATCGGTGAGGTGCCTACGCAGAGCCCAAAGGATACTAAAGGACAGAACCACCCAGCTACAGCCTGTTCACCCTGCTGCCTTCTGGGAAGAGATATAGAAGTTTCTGCTGCAGTGTATGTTAACTGTACTTGAAAAATTGGAGCACACGTCAGAGAAGGCTTGAGTATAAGTAACAGTAAAGACATGAAAAGAACAAAAAAGGAGAGAGTTGTAGTGATTTCTGTTGAAGTAAGCAGGAACTGAACTTGGCTCTGTGCTTACAAACAGCGGTCCGCTCATCCAAAGTCGAATTATAAAATGTTGCAAGATCACAGCATGAAATTGGTTTCTCTTTCCCTTTTTCACCCCATTTTTTCTCTCTTTGTGGCTCAAGCTTTCAATCTGTTTTCCTCTTTACAAGGGCTTTTTCACGCTTTTAGCAGAAAAATAAAAGCGCCTCTGTATTCACCCGTCGTGCCCTTACATGAGAGCATTTTGGAAGATCCTCTCTCTCTCTTCCTCAGCAATGAGTGTTCTGAAAAGGGTGGATGGGCTTACCATGGGGGAGGCAGAGGAGGTTGGAGGGGGGTCAAAAATGTTGGGTTGGATTCAGAGAGTACATGATTCTGATGCAACAATCACAGACTGACCTTTTCTTGTGCTTGCGCTCATCCTTCCTCTTATGTTTTAAACTTGAAGAGCTGGTGGGATCAAAGAGAATACAATCATGAGCAAGGAGTATTAAGACTGCAAAAGCCTGCACAGACAGCCTGCTTTTTAACTGATACATATAGGGCACATAGGCTTTTAAGTCGGAAATCCAGCAATCTTAAGGAAAGCAGATGTTAAAATTACCTACACATTTATGACAGAAAATGTATCCAGGTGAAAACTGTTCACTCTTAAAATAATTTTAACTGTTTTTTGTTAAACACGAGACATGCAAAAACAATGCACAAAATCTTGCAATAATCATATACATACCTGTGTTTGGACTTTTTGGAGGAATACCTGGAAAAAGGAAAAGGATGATTTCAGTCACCTAAAAATACATGTCATGCCATTTTACATTGTCATAGTAAGCAAGAACTACCTATGCCGCTTGCTTTTCTTGGAGCTCTTCTTCTTCTTCTTTTTCTTCTTCCTCGGTGGCGACAGGCTGTAGGAAGGAGACCTAAAGAGGAACAAATAAGCATGAACTCTGGAGAGTACCAAGCATTCTCCTGTACACCTCTCAGTTTATTTATGTCAGGAAACACAACAAAAGGTATCCAACAACAGACCTCACTCCACAGTCATCTCATTTTGGGAACTGACCTTTTCCTTTTCCTCTTCCGTTCAGACTTTCTCTTCTTCTTCTTCCCCTTGGGCCGAGGGGAGAGTTCCTCGTCAAAGGAGGGGCTGCAAGCAGAGACAGAGCAGAAAGGACACTTACTTCTTTATTCATTCTGGTGATGGGAAATGAAATGTGAAATCTCAGCTGCAAGAATTCAGCAGAGTGAGGAGCACATATTTGGGCCATGACAGCTTTTGAATCCCAATATCTGGACTGGAATTTGATTTATATACAGAGTCTGCGTGTTAAGGGTTAGTTCACCCAAACTACATAAAGTAATTTTCTCCCTTACCTCTATATCCAGCCATGCAAATAGTTCTTGTTTAGTTCCAGTTTAATTTGCCCAGTTTTGGACTATCAGTCTCTGATATTTCTGCTTCCACTCCAATAACAGAATTCAAACAACCCAGTATCCCTACAAATTACAGTATGTAGACTGTCTGACTTTCACAAAGCAGAGTTCATATCCAATCAAAACTGTTCTCTTTTTATTAACTTTAAGCACAATCTTTCCCTGATCTTAACCATGTTGTAGTCACCATACGCAGATATTGTAGAAAGTAGGAACTTTGGCATTAGACCAAAATAAAAGTCACTTTTGCAAAATCATCCAATATTGACATGCTTGTCTGGCAATAGGGTTGAGTTTCATTGGCTCAAAACACCAACAAATTACTATAATTAAATGGAAAATGACTACTGAAGACATAGTGTGTTTTTGGGTGAACTGCCCCTTTACTCAATACATTTTCCTAAAAAAGCAACATAACTATACTTTCAGGTCTTGAGATTTTGAGGCCGTTTTACCAGTTGAACGATAAAAGATAAGATTTGCAACAAAGGATTTATCTAACAAGTTTGTTGGGTTTAATAAATTGGACACCATGAGCTACTGCTTTACAAGGATGCCTCTTATCTGAAGGAAAGTGCATAAGCAGAAACATTAATACAAAAGATTCCACTGTGTAAGAATTTAACAAGAATACGTTCTTCACCTACTTTTGCTTATCTGATATCACAGAAGTGTTGCTTACAGTTTTCTCTGAGCGTTTCACGCCAAGTGTGAAACTCCCTCCATGAAAGTCTTTTTTTCTAAAATCTTTGCAGACAAATAACCCTAACAGAATGGGTGGGGTAAAGTAATCCACATGACTCATCATTGGCATCACATAACTGCACATAAACGCATCTTGATTGATCCTGACACACATAAGCAAGATTAACTGTGAGCCAAATGTCCCGTATGAGATGATCCCATCACAACAGGATGATGAAATCCTATCCAGACTGGTACAAAGCAAAAAAACGGATCGCATGCCAGTGAGTTTCACTGAAGTCAAGACTGATGACTCAGAGAAGGAGATGGATCTACATCCCATCCACTACCAGTGCCCACAGCTGACTTCTAGGGCTGTAATAAATGTCTTTTTTTTCTTCTATTGAGGTTTTTGAATGATGCTTCGAACGTTTGTTGTCATATTTTATGACGCCATCACCCTAAAGAAAAACAAAACAAAGAATCCTTGAACAAAATCCTCACTTTGAATAAAGTGATTCATTGGATTAAATGGGTTAGTCTTTTTTTTTAAGTAAAGGCATAATGACTAGGATATGTCAGTTGCTTAGCAACTCACTAACTCTCATTAGCAAGAAAAAGCAGTGAATCAGAGAAATAAAACCGAAACAATCCTATGCAGCCAACGCTGGAATCTAATTCTACAAGTAATATAGGCCTAATACTAATAATATTACTGTAGCCTAATCTTCCTCTGCAGAAAAGCTGCTCAGCATTCAATTGTTGATTTATAATTTGAATGCAGCTTGGAACTGTTCAGTACAGTTCAGTTATGTCAGGGATTGCTTCGTATTTCGTCTTTGAACCGGTGTTCTGGCTGACTACAGGATGTTGACCAAGGCATGTTGGATTGCCCTTTATCATTTTCCCCTTCCTTCAGTTTTTTTTTTTTTTTAAATATAAACACACTATACAGAAAGCCTCAAACTTTAGACTTTCACCTAATAAAATAAACCTTCAGTTCAGCAACCATGCCTGTGAACAGCTAATTGCCTTCATACGTGTTTGATATAATTTTTGCTATTGATACTGAACCATCTTGTTAATCTTCTTAGACTAACTAGGTATGTTAAGAAAAGTATAGGAGAGAAGAGTCTTTAATAATAAAGAACCAAAAAAATCAACCACAGTGTACTTGTACTCTAAAATGTTAATAAAGTGGATCGCTGATCGACAGCGTTCGGGACTCTGTGGTTCTGTATCAGTCAGAATTAATAAGCCTGCGCACCTGTCTATGAGACTTTCTGAAGTTTGAAGTATGTTTTAAAAAGGATCAAAATCGTGACAGTCGAGGCCAACTTTTCCTGGCTTTTTGGCCCTAATATAAAGTATAGAAAACACTGGGTCGTACACATCCCCTGATGGAATTTGTCATCAATCATCTCTTTTTTAGACCCTACCTGCCTGGGAAATATCCACTTCTTTCAAACCGTTCGCCTCTGGTTTGTAATGCAGGATTTCTGTTAAAGATTTGTAGCCCAACCTAATATTACTAAAGTAATGTCACTTGAGAAGTTTGCTCAGACTTGACAAAGGTCTGCTAGGACTGCTGAAGACATTATGTAATTGTTTTCACAGGTTGATGCTAAGTGTATATTTTCATCACTGTGATCCATAGTCCCTTTTCCACAACATTGGTACCAGCTCAGCTCACCTTGACTCTACTCGCCTTTTTTGGTTTTCCATTGAGCAAATTTGGTACTTGATAGGTTTTTTGGTATATCCTCTGTCAAGGTTCCAAGCGAACTGAGGCAATACCAAACGCTGACTGGAAAGCATTGCAGACTACTGATTGGTCAGAGAGAATCGTCAAGCCTGCACACATTTCCATGTGCACAGGTACACATACTCGTGCTAGCCTGGGATGTTCTTATCTTCCATCCATTCATCTCTTAAAGTGTGAATTTATCATTATAAAGAAAACAAACTTGTCAGATTCCATCTGTTGACCAGCTTGAGCTGTTCAGAGGTCTCTCTGAAAATGACTGATGTGGAAGGGGAGATGACGGCCTTTGAAGCGCCACAGGCTCATTGAATGAGCCTTTCAAGTACATATTGACTGAAATTCATAAGGAGCAAAGAGGAGGGAGTGAGTGAGCATGTAGGGTGATGCAGGGTAAAGGAGAGATGTGCAAGAAGATGCCTATGACTCACTCAAGCAGCCTCATCTTGGCTTTGATAAATCAGTTGAAAATAAGCTTTATTGGGAAAACTGAAAAGGGTGTCTTGTGTAGGTTAAATCAGATTGGATCTAAATTTGCACGACATGCCCTTGTTCTCACTTACAGAGAGAAGAATACATGGGTACATGCAGACACACTGCAACTTAGGTGAAGTTTTGTCATTCAGTCTTGAGCTGATTAATTGATTACTTGAATGACAAAAAATTAATCTGCAACTATTTTGTCAATTGATTCATCATTTAAGAAAAAACACCAAGCATTCACGAGCTCCAGTTTCTCCACTCTAATAACCAGCTGCTTTTCTGTCTTTTATATCACTATAAATTTAATGTGTTTTGGGCTGTTAGTTGGACAAATCAAGCATTAGGAAAACATCATGATGGGCTCTGGGAACTTCTGACAGGTGATTTTCACTATTTTGTCTTACAGACTAAAAGATTAATCATAAAATATGATTAATATAAAATGTAAAAATAATAGACAGATTAACCAATATGGATTATATAAATAACTGTTAGTTACAGACCCAATCGATTTGCTCCAGGTTAATAGCTGATGTGATTTTATCCACAGTTGTCTCCATATTTTCACTATGGCTCTGGTACAGTTAGATGATCTTCCCAATGCACAAAGGCTCTCACTGGCTCAGTTGTTTCTCCAGCAGGGGGAATAGCCATTGACAAAGAGACTTGTGAATTGCTGGGCAAAATTCGAGATGGAGACACTAAATGGGTAAATCAGCAGTCCCCTTTGAGATTAAATAGTTAGCAAAAAATATATAAAACTGGAATATACTACAACGGATAACAGGTTTTGTATTTTTGGTTTTACTGAGAATAAAAATAAGCATTAAAGATGGACTCAATTTCAGAATAGCATTATCAATATCCAGATAATATTTCCATAGCACAGAAAGGCTTAGCTTAGCTCTGGGCAGAATACATTCAAATGTCTACAAATAGTAGCTGTGTCAGGCACATTGTTAAGTATTTTCATGCTTGCTGGGGGGTTTTCATTCGCCATTTCTGTCAAAATTCAAGAAAGTGTATGTTACACAAACCGCAGGTCATGCTTCCAGGTGAGCGTGATCAAAACTGATCCAGACAGTGACAAACTGCACTCCTCCTTGATATATGCGAACACAGAGCTTTGGAGACTATATGCCTGTTTCACTGGATGCAGAGGACTGTCTTGCCATAATAAATGGCCCTGCTTGGTGTAGTCGGCAGTTTGGAAGCATTAGGAACTGAAATGCATTAGGGCTGATTAGACAGACCAAGTCCAAGTACCCTCTCCCCGGTAATGAGAACGCTTTGTCACTCATTAACACCTCTACCATTGTGGCTTTGTAAAAAGAGAGCACAAGGCAAGCATTTGCATTTTTTTCTTGCCACCAGAAACAGTTTCTTTTCATGAGGTGGAGAGAATGAAGGGAGGAATGAGAGAGCAGTCACTTGCCAGCTACATTGGGATTGGTGATTGTGTGAAACAATGGTGTATGAAAAAGGTTTTTGAGGACATCTGATGAGAATATGCTCAATGCTGAATGCAGCTTATTTTGTGTTTTTCATTGCCACAATAATGCATGAATACCATAAACGTATATATGTACCGGCATCCTAGATATGATGCAATATGAAAAATGCATCACTCGCTTTGTGTCAGGCACTGTATTGTGTTTACTACACTCGTGATTAGCTGGATGTCTTGTGTTTCTTGTTGGGTCCAAGCAGGGATTTCATGTAATTAAATGTGTTCACTGAATCAACAGAATTGAACAGAAATGGTTTATTTCTGTGGCTCTTTGTTGAGTGAACCAGGTTCACTCGCTCACTGTAGCAAACATACTGTGTCCAGAAGGAAGCTAGTGTCAGTGGCTTGTGGTTTCATGTTATGATTAACATCGGTGGCTCTGCTAAATTGGGCTGCTGCCAGCCAATTAAAAAGATAAGAATTTGAAGAAGAAGAGGAGACTTTTCTCAGCCAGCAACTTGCAGTGCTTTGTAATTGAGACAAAGAATTGGGAAATTAATCTACCATTAGACACTTTTTACTAAGCGGAAATGAATAAACACAAACACAATCTTTTGCATGCATTTCTTCTATTCTTGGTCTCTTTTAATCCATTATTTATTTGCTCATAGCCAGTGAAGCTTGGTGGCTGTGATTCATCTGTGTAGCTGCAGAAGCTCAATCACGACTGGATGTAGCTGCTGCGCCGTCTTCACAGTCTCTCCTCCTAACAGCTGACATTGTGGTCAACGTTGAGAAACCTTGTGTTTTCTTGTGGTGATTATTACTCTTCTTATCCTCAGATACGTGGTTACAATCTGATAGACACAAGTAAACCTGTATTTTAGAGACATGCTCTTTGTGATCAGTGATTATTAGAAAAGATTAGTATCTAGAAAGTCGGAGAATTTGTCAGGGTGTACACTAAAGCCACTCTCTTTTAGAATTCATTTTTAGGTGCTATTAATCACATACAAGGCTTTGCATGGTCTGGCGCAGAAGTATTTATAGGCACCTCAGGTCCATCAATTTCAGACTTTAATCTATTCCCAAGTCCAGGTAAAGTGTGATCAAGGTTTTGCTGTATCGGCTTCTTGGCTCTGGAAAGGCCTTCCACTTAGCATCAGATCTGCTAACACTGTATCTGCTTTTAAATCACAGCTTAAAACCCATTTTTATGAATGGCCCTTTGTGTGTGTGTGTCTTAATATTGTTATGACCCTGGGGTCATATTTTGTTGTTTATCTCTCCTGGCACTGTCAGCTGTTATCCTCCATTAGAGTGTGTGAGTGTATGCAGGTACTGGAGAACAGGTGGACACACTGGATTGGTCTGGTTGAGCTGATTGGAGCCTCCTGATTGGGCATCTGGATGACAGCAGCCATCTTAAGCCCTACGGACAGGAACTCTGCCCCTCTCTCTGCCATTCCCAACCTGCCTGAGGACTGTGTGCTATGTCTGTGTTTATTGTACATAGTGAACGGTTGTGACTATATTCAACTTAGATTGTAAGTAGTAACGTAGTCCTTCTGATTGTCTTATGACAACCTGGTTTTGTTGGCTTTGCCATTTTTGTTTCTAGGAAGCAATTTCCTTTTGTTGTAGCTATATTGTGTCAGCTACTAGCAGTGAGTAGGAGTGAGAAGCCCTTTCTTTTGTTTGCACCGTTTTCTCCTGTTTTTGGACTTAGAAGCCTAGTTTTAGAGCTTTGTCTTTTCTTTACCTTTTGGTTTTGGGTTTAGGAAAGATTTAGGTTTTTTCTTAGTGTTTTGGTTGTTGTTTTGGGCACTGCTCATCTCCGAGGTATAATAAAAACTGCTAAATTGTATTTGTTGTGTACTGGCCTTGTTTGGGAATGGGAAGAGTGGGAGGCCACACATTTGTTACCTCCAGGACACCCCTAGACCTTGGGACATAACAATATATATATATTTTTCTTTCTTGAAGATCATCAGATTTCGTGAAATGAAAAAACAAATGTTTTCCTCAAACTGGACTTCCTGGATTTTACTTTTCAACATCTTCTCACTACATATTCACACCAATGTGGATGCTGGCAGTTTGTGTTTGTGTTAAAGGTGCACTGTACAAGATTAGTACACGAAAACCACAGTCTAATCCACACAAAAGGGCCGCAATGGAGGAAAGGCAGGGTTTCCCACAGTGTACTACAAGGGGGCAGGATAGGAGGCGAGATAGGATTATGGTTGGTCTTGAAATCACCATAAATCTTTTTCAACACGCCTTTTCTATCAGATGTCTTTTCTTACACGCACAAACCAGGAAAATGATTATCAGAAGTCTGTGTGCATGCGTGCTCTCTGTGCTCGCTGATCCTCTCTAACACCCCAAATGCGGCTTCAGTCGTCTTTTTACATATCATTGGCTGCTTCCCAGCTGCGTAACTGCAAAGGTTTTGAAGGTGTGTAATTAAGAGGTTTCTTAAAAAAAATTGATTTTTCCCACCTCAGAATATGAAGGCAGAAAAATTATTCTCGTTGTGTGAAGGAGACTTTTGGTTCAAGGTGCTGGTGAAAAGAGAAAAGAGGATCTGAATGACACAGTGTGGAATTCCTGACAACATGTTTGTATTTCTCCACTGGGTCTGACCTGATAAGACTGTTTACATTCCCTGCACCAGAACATAGAGATTAGCTGTTTTCTCAGTGAGAGTCAAGCCCTGAAGGAGTTTTTGTGTACTGTAAAAATGCTTTATCACCAGCAGTTAAATCTACAAAAGAACCCCCATAAAACAAAAAATACTGCAACTTTAAAGGACATTGATTTATCTTCTGTCTCATCTCTTTACAAGCGCTCTTTCTTTGAGATCACAAAACCTTCCTGGTGGTTTTCAAGAGCTCCTGCTTGGCATTTGTGAAAGCATAAAGACCAGCTCACCTTCTGGCCCTGCGATGACTGTGGCGTTTGCGTCCTTTTCCTTTGATGCAGCCATTTCTGTCTGAGGTGTCCACCCTGGTCTCTGCCGCTTTCCTCTCATCAGTCTTGGGCGGCTGGCAGGCTGTTGTCTCTGAGCTGTGAGGGAAGCAAAACAATAAAAAAGAAGAAGAAGAAAAGGATTTAGGTTTTGCTCTTGTGCCTTCTCAGGAGAACTTTTCAAAGTGATTTTTCTACTTGTCCACACAGTTAAATCTTCCATCATACAATAGTGAGGAGGATTTAGCATGCTTGGTTAGCCTTATTCCCTCTGGTCTGCTGGATATGTGTTTCATTCCCCTCCATTTCTCCCTGCCAGCCATTCTCTGGGAAAATTGGAGGTCAGCCATTTACCATTCAAATCGAGGTGTCAATTGAAATGTAGTTATTTACATGCTTCAGTTGCCCTGACATTTTGGGAAATGGTGTTTTCTATCTCGCACTGGGCAGATGCAGCCACGGGAGAAGCATGGTCATGAGAATAGTTGAAGTTCTCCTTGAATTCTTTTTACTATCTCTGATAAACCGGGGAGTCTACATTTTTAGTTGTCAACATGTTTTGCATACAAGCAAAAACAATAAAAACTAGAAGTCACATACTCAGCCTTGTTGTTTAAAAATATTTTCTGTAGTTTCAAAATTGAGGCAAAATTTTGTGCAGAAGGCATTTCTGGCTTCCAAATAATGCTGCTGTAAGTCAGGTTCTTACTAATTCAACCACTTCCACCTGAACCTGCCAAAAAGCTTCATTCGTAGGAAACGCTGAACGGATGACTAAATAAACTGAATGATTAGATGTGAGCCCACAGTTCTAGCCCTGCTTATTATCCTCTGTTTTAGTCATGGGAGATTTCAGCATAATTACACATTCTCCTCTTCTTCGAGTGGCTCCCGTCTGATTGTAATGAGAAGATAATCAGAGCCAGAGATTACGCCGTCAACGGTGCCTCCTCCTCCTCCTCCTCTTCCCATGAGCAGGCAGGAGCCTTCGCTTTCTATCTTCCTCACCTTCGTTTTCCTCTGAGGGAGTGCCCCTGGCAGGGAACTAATCATGTAAAACGGCAAACTGTGTGCTCCAACATGACCTGAGTGTTTGAAAGGTGATAGGGGAGATAATGACAGCCACCGGAAGGATGATTAGTCTGATCAAGGAGGTGCTGATGGGAAAGGAACCTACACATATCCTGGCGATTTAGCTAATGTTCTCCTGGTGTTGTTGGAGATACAAATATAAGTCAGATGATATTGTTTTCTGGATCATTGTTTGTAATTTATAATGTCTGAGGTGACAAACTGAGCATTCAATCCCAATTACTCTTACAGTGGTCAAATGTTTAAGATGAATTCTGAAACTGAAACGCCATCTTGATAGATCATGAATCTTACTTTGTCATCGTTGGTGAAACCTTACATCACAATATAAATGTACTCTACAGGGTTATCATTTACTAGTCACATATTCCATTCTGTATATGATCCAGTCATATGTGACAACTGTCAAGGTTTTGCTTTTGGGCAGTGTTATTTTCTGTTTTGTTTTGAAAGCATCCTTCCTTTCGCCTAGGCAATCTCGGCAACCTTCAGGCTGTGACTTGGGGTAAATCAGCGGTCGATTGGCAGTCGGCAGTCGTTATGTGTGAACTACACAAGGACGTGTCAAAATAGCTTCCCGACACATTTCTGACACATCGCCGACGTCTGCCAGATATCGAGTATGCCAAATATCTGGAGGAGTCGGCCGACTCGACATCCACATCCAGCCAATGAGAGCAGGCAGCTACTTTTTCTCTGCAAAACACTTTTTGCTCACCTCCAGCTCTCTCTGTAGCTCAGACAATCCCTGCTACCTGCGTATGCTAATCCATTCTTTCACCCAGATTCTTTGTCTTTATAATTGCGATCTTTATAATAACAAACAACAGCTGTTTCATGTGTAGCTCACGTCACTTCTCGTTTCACATTTCACGTGTGTTTTCTTGACAAAACATGGTTTGGAGACGAGCGTCGGGTGACACAGCCGCTGTCAGCTCGTGTAGTGTATGACCCCCTGTCACCGATCATTCACGTAGTGTGAACGCCACAACGACTTCAAGACTCCGGTCACAAGACGGCAAGTTGTGTAGTGTGAACAGCACGGCCATCGGCCGACGCTGAAAGTGGTGTAGTCTGCACGAGGAATAATGTGTCTTGTGTTTCTATACTTCCTAAATATGACAATAATGTCTTGTTTTCATCCCTTCACTTGTGTATTTGAGTCGATGTGCTCTCCTAGTTTGTTGGAAGTTCATCTACTCGACGAGCCCTTCCCAGTGTTTCCCTGTGCTTCCCTGCTACCTACTTGTTGGCTCTTTTGGACTTGGTTTATTGCCCGGGACTCTATTACTCTATTGCTTGGGACTCTTGCCTGCCTCTACTTGCCATAAGCCTGTTCACCTCCTGCACGAATTCCCAACAATATCTATCTTTTCTTGCCTTTCTCTACCTGGCATTAAATCATAGGAGTACAGCACACTATTCCTTGCACAAATGTAAACATGGTAATAAAAGTGAAGAAGAAATCATGTTGTTGGTGCTGTGAGGTGGAACAGTGACACCTCTTTTCTGATCACCTGTGAACATCTTAAAAGACGTGGTTGATTGGTTGGCTCCCAACATGTCTGCCATGTCTCTGAGTCTATGATTAACTGTGACCATCTCAAAAGGAAAATACTTTTTTAGACTGATCCCAGCAAACACTAATAAGTCCATATAGTGCTTTTGGCACACCTTCTATCTGCGTATACTAACAATAAGCTCTGCATTCTGCCGCTACACAACTGTTTGCTTTCAGCATTTAGATTTATGTCAATTTCATTGTTTCTTTTGCATCCTGCGAGATCTGAACAATTTATTTGACAAAGGAGAACACAAGGCTGAAACATTTGCACTGTTGAACGCTCCACTCAGTGTCCTTGAATAAGGCCAGAGTGGAAAGGGGCCCAAAGCTCCTTTTACTGGCCCCCTCTCTCTGCTGCTTTGTTATTTGCTGTCACTCTAAGAGCTGCGGTTGATGAGTTCTAAATGAAATCGATTTCGCCATCACAAATGCACGTTTTCTTGATCCGGCCCTGCAATTTATGGCACCTGGATGTTTGTATCTGTCAGACCCTTGGCTCCTTCGCTAAAACACACACACGCACGCACACACGCACGCACGCACGCACGCGCACACACACACGCACACACACACACACGCACACACACACACACACACGCACACACACACACACACACACACACACACATCAATACACTCTCTCTCAAGCATAGGCAATCCTTTTGCAGTCTTAATTCATAACCAGGCAGCGGGTGAAAGTATTTAAAGGGAACATTCAAAGCCCCAAACTGGCAACAAAAAAAACCAAACTTTAAATGAATGCAAATACTGAGCAGATTAAGTGAGAGTACTTCATGACAAAGAATTACGTGGACACTAATCCTCCAAAATCCTGACTGGATTTGTTTACCATAAAACAGGTAAAATAGAGTCATAGGCTGGGCAAGGATCAGCTCCTTGGCAATCCCTGCTGAAATATGGCATGATGGGAATGCCGCTCATTGACACCATTATCTGTGTACACCGCACATACAGTTAGCATCCCACTTCTTGACTTTTTGACCTCTTTCTCTCATTGTATGTATCACACTGTGCATGTATGCTTTAGCACAGCTCCCTTGGTGATGAGTAATTCACTGGAAGCCACGCTGTGACTAGCTCTTTCGGTCACAGAGGGAGTGTCTCACTTCACTCAACTCTGTCATACACCGCTACTGTTCACTGTCACGTGGATGGGTGACAAATACTGATAGATGGTACACAAAAACACTCTGCAAACAGCGCGACAGTGCTTTTTGAAAAGAGGGTGATGATATGATTTTCACCTCTGTGTGTTTCCAAATTTGGATGGAGAGATGAGAACAGTGCAGGGTGTGGTAGTGTGTGACAACACTATCTCCTACAAAATATGTTTCTATACTACTCATTTGCCAACTAAAGCTGCAATGGTTGGCAAATTTAAAATTAATCACTTTCAACTTCTCAAATTATATTTCCTGGTTTCTTTACTCCTCCATGAAAGTAAATTGAATAACTTTGGATTGTGGATTAAGGACATCATCTTGGCCTTTGGGAAACACTGATTGACAGACAATAATAGATAGTTTTGGTGATGTTTTTTAAAATCAGAACATTTGACCATCCTATAATGTACATCATAGGGAGGAAGTCAATGTTGGTGGTTAGGGGAAAAAAACATGTGATTTCGACACTTGGTTTTAGGCTATTTAAAGGATAAATCTGGTGAAATTCAATATTTTTCTAATTGTCAACAAATACCCATGAAAATACCCAAACTAAAAATAAATTGATTCTACTGACAAGTATGGGCTTTGTATTTTATATCATATATTTTATTCCTCTGTGCCAAAAACACATCAGTGAGCCACACCATTGCATTGTTATTAATACTTTAGATTCCACAAGGGAATACTTTATTAAAACACATGAAATACAACAATATAATAATAATAACAACAACAACAACAACAATAATAATAAGCATTTTTTAGATTAGTTCACTGAACATTTTGCATTGGTTTGCAGATAAAAACATGTAATGCATTATGTGACTACAAATTAGTTGAGTTGCAACAATTAGTCGATCAAACTATTTAGTATATCGACAAAATGAACTTGCTGTTTTCCCCTACATTATTAATTGGCATTTCAGCTTTATTTGATAGTGATAGAGACAGACAGGAAAGTCAGGGGAGAGAGGGAGGAGATGACATGAAGCTATTTTGACAATCAATTAATTGTTCAAGTCATCTATCAAGAAAAAATGACAAACATGCTTTAGTCTCATCATCTCAGTTGTGATGATTTGACGCTCTTCTCTCTCACATGTAAGAGTAAACTGAATATTTTTTATGTTTGTCTGTTGGTCCGACGAAACATGCAATTTGAAAATGTTACCTTGGACATCATCACTGTTTTCTGACATGAGTCGAGAAAGTAATTGCCAGAATAATCAGGAACGAAAAAAAACGCTAGTTGCTAG